CGTACGACATCCGATATAATTCAGTATATATAAGGGAGATAGGCAGAGCCATTGAAAACTCAATTTACAGATAGATGATGTTAGATTATGCATGTGGTACAAAGCCATATCTATATTATATAAATCGTTGTTGTCTACCAAATATATGACTAGCAAGTAAAGTAAGATCAAGCTTTCTTTTTAATGCCTCGACGCTTTCAGCAAGAACAACTGAGGAAGGAAGTTTATTCCAGTCTTCAGTGACCCGGTGGGAGAAGAAGTTGGCGTACTCGAAAATCGATAAAGGTTCTCTCAGCTCTGAGGGCGTTTGTATGCAACGTTTTGTGTACCTTATACGACCGATTAATTTGAAGGAAACCCTGAGAATTGGGGATTCAAAACCAATTCCGAAGGATGTGGATCGCAATACTGCCGATGTACTATACACAGGACCACTGAAACAGTTTAAAGTTAATATTGCTCAAAATATTACCTCCTCTACCCTGTTTAATGGATACTTTCTAGCGCTTTCAGGTAGAATGTGGCTTCCTGTTTTCTACAGTATTTCGGCATGTAGTTTACTTGACTCCCTTGGTTCCAGTAGGTGTTCATTCCATGAAATCCATGTACCAAATAATATAAAACCTTTTTTTAGTTTTTAAACTCAGTTACTTCAGGTTTATCCTAGAAAATATCGTATAAGTATGGATGTATGCGGATACATTGTTCCTCGGAAAACACCGAATAGCGAACTTCGTGTGATTTGATTTTTGTCAGCACCAATGATGTGATAGCTGAGCGCAGAAACAAGTTTTAGGTGTGCAAATTGATATCCTCTGGAGGTTTAGGATGGCTATCGAAATTGAATCGGCAGAGTAAGACCCTGCCCACATTATTGAATATTTTTAGTGTCGTACGTCTTATTGAACAATATCTAAAAGAGAGTAATCTCATTCGCACGCTGCAAGTTCTGCAGGTACTGTCTATAGGCCTTTCACTGGTTATAACCAACGAATTTACGTGTTATAGGAAGAAACTGGCATCTCTCTCAATACAGTGGACTCTGTTGAAACTTTTATGAGCGAAATAACGAGCGGTCACTGGGACACAGTCCTTAAAGTAGTTCAGAACCTCAAATTGGCTGATCACAAGCTAATGGACTTGTACGAACAGGTATATCCATTATTCCCGTAACAATTGCCAGATTGTAATTGAATTGATTGAATTACGAGAGTTAGGTGCCGCTCGAACCCTCTTGAGGCAAACAGATCCCATGATTTTGCTTAAACAAAATCACCCAGATCGATACGTTCATTTGGAGAATCTGCTTGCGCGCTCCTACTTTGACCCGAGGGAGGTAATCGTTTGAAATAATTATGTTGCTATTGTCTAGGCGTATCTTGAAGGTCAGACGAAGGAAAAGCGTAGACAAGCTATCGCTTCGGCTCTTTCAGGGGAGGTTAGCGTTGTGCCCCCATCTCGTCTTCTTGCCCTTTTGGGTCAAGCTGTTAAATGGCAACAGCACCAGGGTCTTCTGCCCCCCGGTACCGCTATTGACGTTTTTAGAGGCAAAGCAGCTGTCCGGGAGCAAGAAGAAGAAAAACCACCCACTCAGCTCTCGGCTGCAATAAAGGTATTTTAAAATTTTGCGTTAGGCTTTTATCCCCCCCCCTTCCTAGCTTGGACAAAAGTCCCACGTCGAGTGTGCCTTGTTTAGTCCCGATGGCCAATACCTTGTGACTGGTTCAGTAGACGGTTTCATAGAAGTGTGGAACTTCATAACTGGAAAACTTCGGAAAGATTTACGATACCAGGCTCAGGTGAGTCTTCCGGCTGACTTCATATTTTATTTGTTGTTATTGACGATTATGTCGTATTGCGTAAAATCGTAACTTCCGTGTCCAATTTGTATCGGGCTCGAGTGGGCTCTATCTGTTTTTTTCGTATGCTAGTTTTGTTTAGTCTGAGTTGCACACAGTCCTTTTGCGTGTGAATCTGTCAACAACATCCGACATACTTTAAACACGACCGAATTGTTCAAATTATCGCTTATTTCCTGTCCCCAACTACATGAACAATTATTGTTTTCGTCCGTTTGGAGTCCCACATAAGAGCACGGTAGTCAAAATGCAATTCACCACAGCATCGGAATATTCATAGTCTTCGAAGAGGTACACCTACCGTTTAAGTCCACAAAAAAACGGGAGGATACTGAATTCCTTTCATATTACACTTAACTCTTCTTTATGAGCGCGTCCATCTTTTTTTCCTTTTATTTGTTGCTAATTTCCAAAAAATTTAGTCCCTGCAGCGCATGTCCTAATTCTACCCGATTATATGAAGTTTGTGCATTTACCACTGACACTGTTTGCAGGGCATGGGGGTCCGATTTTTTTACCACTGGAGCTCTCGAATCACTTAATTCATGTGATGCATAGGCTCGAGGACGTCTCATTTATTTAAGCTTAAACACTTAGAAATCTAGTTCCGGATCTGAAAATTGTTCTATGTAGCATCTTTTATGTCTCCTTCCTCAGTGCCAAGAGCTCACTGTTTTGGCGTCACTTATTACGATCTCTCGCGTAAGATACTTAAGCTGATTTGCTCGTTTTATCCCAACCTGCCTTTCATAGGTGAGAAAGACCAATGTTATTTCAGCAACATCACTGTTGTTAAACTAGGAATCTCACTCATTCTACATGAGAAAACGACATTCTGTACATCGTTTTACTTTTTTATCTGCTTTTGGTAGTCGTCCGCATTCATATATCCTTTAACGCACCAAACAGACCTGACCGCGTTCACCGATTCGAATTTCTTTTGGAAAAACGTATTAGTTCATGCGGCTGATAGTTAATAGACGGTCATTTTTGTAAAACTACTTGAAGTTGGGTCCAACCTACATTTTCCTCTTGCTGGTCTTCTTAAAATTACATACGTTGGAAAGCTGATATGTAGTATGAATGCGTTTTTCAACCTACTATAGGACCGTTTCGCGCAAGTGAATCAACTTTTGTCTTGAACACGTCTCAAGTCCATTCTCCTTTACCGTTTGAAGAAAAGCACCGGGCAGCTTCGAAAACTCCGTCCGTTACCGTTTTTCGCGCACATGTTTACTATTTTTTTTTATTTGTTTCCTTTTCAGGAAAACTTTATGATGATGGAGGAGGCTGTTCTATGCCTTGCCTTTAGTCGTGACTCCGAACTCCTAGCCTCCGGTTCTCAGGATGGGAAGGTAAAAATCTGGCGCATACAGTCAGGCCAATGCCTTCGCCGGTTCGACAAAGCGCATGCGAAAGGTGTTACAGCCGCTCATTTTTCAAAAGATAATGTACATCTGCTAACAGCTAGTTTTGATCACACCATCAGGTATGCTTTTTCTTCTTTATTGACTTGTCTTTTTATCGTCAATAATTTATTTTCAAAAAAACTTGTTTAATATCTGGACAGAGGTCTGTATTGTGTTACGCTCAGCTTACTTAATTGCGTTTATGACAGCCCTTTATTCACCAGCACAGCTAACTTGTCTCCAGCATCTGTTCGGTTGCTAATCACAAAGGCTCATTTTTCCCTCGAGGTGCTGATATTGGAAATTTCTAATCAGTACGATAGAGTCAATTGTGAGGTGTTAATCCGCTGTGCTCGTAATGCTGGTGCTCTCGACGCCAGACATTTTTTCAATTGTTCTGCTCAATTATTTATAGAAAATTCATAAATTTTCGCTCAAAGATAGGTTGAGGTTCGAGTAGCCGTTCGAGTCCTCAGCCACATGAGCTACCACGGGTCCACTACTAGTTCTGCAAAATTCTAAATTCTCTTATTTTTATCCACTCTCTGAAAATGGATAGACGAGATAAGTATCCGAAACGTCAGATAACAAATAATCCTCTCCCGGTGAACACCCTCCTTGTGAATTACCAACTGGGAATCGAGTTTTCGCTACTATTACGAGCCTACAATGTTCGAAGCAGTTTTCCCGTTGGATTTTACGTCACGATTTACATGATAGTTTTAACACTAAGGGAAGCAACTGGCAGCATTAAATTAAATTAAATTTGTGGACTGCTTTAAAACATGGGATTTGAAAACCTATAGACTTGGCCGTAGTTCTCTAACAGCCTAGATCGTGGTGCACCCAAATGGAATTAAAGAGGTTGGTGGCACCACTCAACCGTAGGGTGCCGTTCTCAAATATTTTGCATCACAAACAAAAAAAAACGGGAATTTTCCAGTCGGTGTTATGGGGACGACTTTCCTATTCCCATTTAATTGATTAACACGAAGAACTGTTCAGCCTTTTTATCTGCTTCGGCCAAATTTATCACAGAGCTTTATTTTTGCCCTGGTTAAGTTTCCTGGTGCCTATCATTCGAGTTCCCGAAGTCGATTGCTATTTTCACTTTATATTGTCTACATAAATATTTACTGGCTCTATTTGCAGCGAATCACAAATGATGTACAGATACAAGAAATGTTCGGGCCTGTTGTTGCTTAACGTTCCTGGGGTCCAGCGCTTGTTTTATTCTCTAACGGTATACTGTAATGTCTTCAGTTTTTTCTTTTGACTTTCAATTCAAACGACTTTTTCGAGTAGGGCGCTCCTTGAAAACTACCTGTTTTCTTTCCCTGTGGAATGTACTCCTGCAGATAATTTCTGTTCTGAAATTTTCCCGTGGCTCCATGTGGCTTGAGGACCTCGGTACATCTGACTGAGAGGCAGACCCATCCTGCTGTATCT